TCCTTTGCTAGTTGGTTTCCCTTTGGGTTCTGCCAGTAAGAGGTATTGAGGTGAGTAGAGAATTCATAGTTTTCCTTTTGCCCTTTCCTTTCTTCTGGTGCTTTTTCCTGATGCAGCAGCCTCTTCCCTTCACCCCCAGCTCCAGTCTTGGCCCCTCGTCAAGTCTCCTAGCTTTGGTAACACTCCTCATTTTTTCCCCCTCCCAATGCTATGGGTGTAGCACCTTCCTACAGTTTCTAGTGTCTGATTTATATTATCCTTTTTTTTTTTTTCTCTTTGAGCCTGGGAGCATCTGGATAACCATTTCTTCCATTAAATCTCCCATGTTTGTAATAACTATCATGGTTTCTGTTTCCTGACAGGGTCCTGACTGCTGTAGGTGTGTTGTTAAGTGTAGCTCTGGATCTTCTAGAGGGGTCTTTACTTCTGCATAATATCCTTGCGTATACTATGTACATAGTATATAGTGATATAATTATCACTACATCACAATTTATTCATCCATTCTGCTGTTAGACATTTCCACTTTTCCTTAGTGCAAACACCATTTTTTAAAAATGTATTTATTTATTTTTGGCTGCACTGGGTCTTCCTTGCTATGCCCGGGCTTTCTCTAGATGCAGTGCGCCAGCTTCTTTTGTTTCAGTCCGTGGGTTCTAGAGTACAGGCTTAGTAGTTGTGGCACTCAAGTTTAGTTGCCCTGAAGCATGTGGAATCTTCCCGGACCACGGATCAAACCTGTGTCGCCTGCACTGGCAGGTGGATTCTTAACCACTGAACCACCAGGGAAGTCCCACAAACACCATTCCTGTACCTGTTTCCTTAGCTACCTATGCAAGAGTTTCTGTAGGATATATACTAGAAGAGGAACTGCTGGGTTAGAGGGCTATGCTCATCTTCCAATTGTCTGGTTGTTAACAAAGTTGTACCATTTTACTCCCTGACTTTAGTTGGTATCATTACACTTTTCATTTCTGGCAATCGGATGGATGTGCTATCTTATTTCCAGTGAGTTACATGTCTTTTCATACCTTCCTCTGTGAATTTTCTTTTTTGTTCCTTAAAAAAAATTTTTTTTGGTCACATCATTTACACATTTTTTTCCTTCTACATTATTTATATTTTCACATTGATTTGTATTATTGTAAATTGATTTGATTTGATTTCTCTGTATATTCTGAATGCTTCATTGGTGAAACGTGTTACTAATATATTTCTCCAATCTAAGGTTTGTTGTTTTATGGTATCTTTTGTTATATAGAAGTGTTTTTTTTTTTAAATTGTAGTTAAATTCACAGCCTTTGTGATTAGTACTTTTTTTCTCTTTTTGTTTCAAGGTGATAACAATATTTTATATTTCTTACTAAAACATTTAAAGCTTTGTTTTTCTGATTTAGGCTTTCGGTACACGTGAAATTTATTTTTTGTATGGTGTGATGTAAGGAGCATGTTTCAGCTCGTGGAATCTAGAGCACAGGTTTAGGAGTTGTAGCACTCGACTATAGTTGCTCTGAAGCATGTAGAAACTTTCTGGACCAGGGATGAAACCTGTGTCCCATGCAGTGGCAGGTGGGTTCTTAACTATTAGACTACCAGTGGTTTACCACATACTTCAGCAATTATCCCACATCATTTATTAGTTTATCATTTCTCCACTGATTTTTAATGCCAATGCTGTCATATATTATATTCCCATATGTGTGTGATCTGTTTCTGGACTCTGTTCCATTTCTGTATTTGTATATTCTTGTGCCAATGCAACAGAATTCTAATTAGTATGATGTTACAGAAAATCTTGTTAACTAATGGGCAAATCCCCACACCTCAATCTTCAAAATTGTCATAGATACTCTTGGATATGTTCCAGCATATTAATTTTTAAAAATGGACATAGACTAGATTTACCATTTGAATTTTACTATCACTTTGTTAAATTCCATAAAAAAAAAATCCTGTCGAAATATTCATTGAAATGACATTAAGTTTATAGATTAACTTGGAAAGAACTGACATGCTAATATTTTCTTCCTGCCCCCAAATAAAGAACACCTCCATCTATTTAGATCTTCTTTAGTATGTTTCATCATTTAATTTCATACTACCCTGAACGCACCTGATCTCATCGAATGTGTTTCAACAATATAGTTGTATAACTTTTTTCCATGTGGGTCTTGCTCATCTTTTGTCAACTTACCCTTAGATATTAATAGTTTTGTTGCTATTTTTAACAGAAGCACTTTAAATCACATTTTCTAGTTAGCCTTTCCTAATGAAAAGGAGTACTTTGGACTTTTTTTATATTGACCTTGTATCTAGATACCTTATTAGTTGTGGTAGCATGGCTCTGTGCATCACATTTATAAATTTTTTGATGTTCTTTCCTTGTATTCTAGGGATGATTATTGGGCCATGACTAAATTCACTTTTCTAGTACTATCTGACTTTTGAGAGGTGACTCTGTACAAAATCTGTAAACTGAGAAACTGAAGGTCTCTGCAGAGTGATTTCATTTGTCAGAGGGGCAAAAAGCTTAGGTAGAGCAGGCTGTTTTGGTCTTGAAACCTACAACAGTCTTATCTACCTCTGTTGACCCTTCTCTGTGTGCTTTTGCTTAATTTGTCTAGGGCTGATTACCACCACATTCCCTTCACTGTTTCAGATTCTTTTTAATTTGAACTCCATTGAGAGCTCAAACAATACCACCATCCAGGTTTTTGTAACTCTCCATGGTGCTTACCTGAGTACTTATACAAAGAGCTTTATTAAAAAAAATTATGAAAGTATAACACATTTACAGGAAACTTGGAAAATACAAAGTTACATATAGCTCCACTATATATTATGATTATTTTTTAAGTAGATAAATTAAGTTTTAGTTGGTGTTTCAATATCAAACTCTCAAAAATTAATAGAATAAATAGAAAAGAAGGCTAAACTAGATCTAGAAAGAATTATGAGCCAATTCAACAAAATTAAGATTTATACAAGTTTCACGCAACAGCAGGATACATATTCTACTCAAGTTCCCATAGACTATAAACCAGGAGACGATGGAACATATCCAGGTACATAATACAAGGTGAAAAAATTTCATGGGCTAAAAAGCTGTTGAAATCATACAGTGTCTCTTCTCTTATCACTGTGGAATTATGTTAGAAATCAGTATCAAAAGATATTTGAAAATAACCCACACGTTTTCAAGCACAATGTGTCATTTACCAACAAAGATCTTTGGCTTAAGAGATTTTCTTCTTTTTAAGAAAAAGGTTGGTGTCTACTAATGAATCCATGAGCTTCTGCTTATTAACTCATTGTAATTCTATTTTTGTCATGGCCTTCAGGAAGCTGCCAGGTGGGTTTTGTGCTCAGTGGTGGCACATTCCCTTGACTCTATTTTTTAATATTATTTTTCTTTCTATGCATTCCCCTTTTTCAGACAGCCCTTTCCCCTATACTGACTTTATTACTTAAAAAAAAATTAACTTTAACTCCTACTTTATTGCTAGACAGTTTCATTGCTTGTATGCTTCAATGTAAGCTATATCAAATCCTTCTGTGGATAGGTGGAGTTTACATTCCATATGAAATGAGAACTGTTCAATAGCTGTTGGCTGGATGGCAGGTATGAGGAGTTTAGCGGTGGCGCAAATCTTCTGAAATCCTTAGTGTAGAAATTTAATTTTGATGTTTTAGCGTCTCTGCTTATACAGAGGCTTTTTAACATCTAATTCTGTATTGAAATCGGGGGGGGGGGTTGAATCAGATTTTAAATTTCTGCTAGTAAATAAAAAAGCATATCATACCTTGTAAAATAGTGATGCTTGGCATGATAATTACCCATATTACTGTAGAATTAATATTTTGTACCTCACGTGAACAGTTGTGTACTTTTTCTTTTGACCTGAATCTAAACCTGATTTTTAAAAATCGCTAGCAGAGAGCGTGTGTTCTCCAGGTTTCTGAATTCCAATAACCCTCCTTCAAGGGAATGTCCCCGGGGCGGGGGGGGGGAGAGCTCGGTTGGTTAACTCCAGGGCGATACAAAGCATTTTGTTCCTTTACTCACGGCCCTTACTCGGTCTCCCAAGGAGACAAGTTGAATGCCCACTAAGTCATGCTTTTCCATTACTCATTCCGCCTTTTTTCCCAAGGTGGCGTGTGGGAGGTGTTGTGCTCGGGCTCGCTAAGAATAGGCCGGTAAGCTTTTTGCGGGATAGTACACTCATCCTTTTGCGTGTTTCAGCTCCGACTGCGCAGTGTTCGGCGCCTTCAACCTGGTGAGATGTTTTCCAAACGGACAATGACTCCACACTCGGCCGCCTCCCACGTTCGTCTCTGCCCCTCCGCAGGCGTCGGGTCCCCACAGTCCCGCCCCGCCCCACTTAGCCTTGCTTTGTCCCCTTACAAGGCGGATCATCGGGTTAGCCCGGCGCGGGGGCTGCCGACTAACGCCCTTCGTGGGTCACCCGGGAGGGGACTCTGGGCGCCGCCTTCCCCCACCCCGCACCCCCACACACGAACTCCGGCTTCTGAGCCACCAGGGGGCGCCCAGCCGTCTCCGCCTCTCTCACCGCCTCCCTTCACCGGCGCCCCCGCAATTGGCCGGCCGCTCGAAGCTCTGCACCCCGATTGGTCGCCGCCCGCGTCAGTCGCGGGCGCCAAGGCGGACCGAGATGACGCACGGCAGCCGGGCTCCGGGCGGTGTCCCAGGCCGGCGGCAGCAGGCGGAGCTTGGAGAGGACGGACGCTGAGCAGTCTGACGGCAGCGGTCCTGGGAGGTGCCAGCGCGAGGCTGAGCCGCTCTTCGCCGGTCGCCGCGCCCGAGTCTCCTGGACTCCCGCCTTCCGCGGCCCTTGATGCCGGGCTGGCCAGCTGTGTGATGGGGCTGCCGAGCGGCGCCCTGCGGCTCTCGGCGGCCGCTGCTCGCGCTGAGGAACCTCGGTGCCTTGTTCCCCGCGCCCCCGCGCGCCGCGGCCCGTGCTGACCCGGCCCTCCCACCCGCCTGTCCGTCTGTCCGCAGCGCGGCTGAGGTAAGGCGGGCGGCGGTTGGCGCTGCGCCGCCGGCCTGAGAAGGGGACCGCCCGGGGGGAGGGGCGGCCAGGCCGGGGGCTGGCGGGGTCCGAGCCGGGGAAGCTCCGGGCCGGGCCGGAGCCGCGGATACTGAGGGCGCTGCCCCAGCGGGGCACCGAGTGGGGCGGGGCGGGGTGGGGAACCGTCCCCGGGCCAGCAGCGAGCTCCGGGCTTGGGTCCAGCGGCCTGCCGGGTCCCCCGCAGTGGCCCGCACCAGCTCTCCGCCTCCCCTGAGCCGCCAGGTTCCGGCCGTCCCCGGCGGTCAGCCGAGCCGCCGCTGCCCGTCGGTTTCCCGGGCCGTCTGCGCTCATTACGGCTCTCTCTGCTCTGTGCTGAAGCCACCCTTTTTCATTTCCCCCCATCCCCTCTCCCCCGTTAGGGTTGGCATGGAGGCTTCGGCTAGGAATGTGGTTGTGCCCTTTGCCAGATGAAGGCAGGCGCGGGCATCGCGTGGGAGGGGGGAAGCCGCTGGCGCAAGGACTGGAGAGGAGCGCGATGGGAAGGGAGGGGGCTCGCTGGATGCTGGCCATCCGTGGCGGGGGCTGGTGTGGTCTCGGCGGTCGGCAGCCTGGGATTACTCTGGCAGCCATATTGGGAGGATGATCTGACAAATCCTTTAGGAGCCAAGTCCCGTTGCTGGAAGGCACCGAGTGACAGCCCTGGCAGCTTTCAGGGTGACTGGCCACACCGAAGCCAAGTTGTGGGGGTTGGGAGGCTGCTCCAGCGAGCTAGTCATTGTTCATGCAACACAAAACATTCCTGGCCCTAAAACCAGAATGGAACTCCGAAATCACTTCTTTTTTCCTCCTTGGTGAATCGCTAATTGAGCTTCCAAGGCAAAGTGCCTTCAAGATTGCATACTCTTTGGGGTGAAATGATGCATTTCTATGTTCATCGTCTATGATCAGGGCTATGGACACAGAGGGATGGTGATGCCTTACTCGCACAGAGGCAGATCTGAGGATTGCTAAGGCCAATTGACCAGGGTGGAGGCCTGGAATTATCAATAGTATATTGCGTCGCCGGATGGATAGATTTTCAAAGTAGCTCAGTATGCAGAGGTGAAGTCAACTGGAATATAATGATGATGGGAGAGGGTTGCAGCAGTATTTTTGAGGACACAGTTTGTCATGTTTGTGGAATCTCGAGGTGGCTGAAATTAGATTGTCAACAGATCCCTTGCTCACATATCTCTTTACTGTTCTAGGCAGCTGTTGTGCTGATACTGAACATGTTGCTTTGTGTCTTAAATGGGTCTTTCCTAGCCCCCTGAAAGTGTAGTGGTTGGATTCAAATGGCTCTTAAGAGGTGATATCATGGTGGATATTTTATTTAAAGGCTGGCATTTTGTCAGCTTAGCTTAGTCATAGTAAAATCTTAGCTTGTGTTCTCTAAGAAGTGAGGTGATGCTTTCTAATTAACTTGGTATGGCTGTTGGATTATGAGGCAAGTGAAATGGGTAAGGTACCACTTAAGGATGGAATATGAAGCGTGCACACATGTTAGCGTTGGAAAAAGATCTGGATAGGAGCAACAACTGAATTTAGTGTGAGCCTATAAATTTGTCTTTTCCTACTTTCTAGGTGTGGAGAGGTCCTGGAGAATGGCATGCCCACCTTTTTTGTTCTGCTGCTTTCATTCAGACTCCCTTTCTTAATGAATAAATTCCTGTAACTTAAGTGGAACTACTTAAACATTTTCAGATAAGGTTTTCTAAGAAAAGTCTTAACACTTTATTTTTTATTTTTATCATTAAGCTTTTCTTTTGAAACTTGGTTGAAATAAAAAAAAAATCACTTCAACAGAAACTAGTGTTTTTTGCATCTTGTTAATAATGAGAGAAATACAGAATGTCTAGTTTTTAAATTCCGTGCCCCAATTAAGAGATATTTCTGAGATGTAAGTTTTTACATTTATTTTATTGGTAAGCCATCTGAAGAATGGTGGTTAAATGTAGTCTCAGCACTTGGTAAAGTCAGACCGGACTGGGAGTCTGGGAGGCAAGATTTTGTGCAGCTCCACTCTGATGAATGTTTTTCCAAAGTTTATCCAATCAGGTACAACTTCTGAGCAGACTTTCCTTTTGAAGACCAGATATGAATGCAGTTTTCCTTTTTTCTCTTTTCTTTCTCCCACTTTGAATTTGTGCTGGGAATAAACTGCCGAGAGAAGTGCCAGCAGAGACTCTCCAAGGCCAGAGCTTTCTAGCTCACTTCCTGCTACGGTCTTGTCCTGGGTACAAAGTGAAGGACAACTTGTTTGTAAACCCTTCCCAGGTCACTGAGCACAGCAGGTCTTTCTCAGGAGTAAGATAGCCCTTTGGTCTTGTAAACCCATGTGATATAATTTCACAAGGCTCTAAAGTGAAAGGTGTAGCATATCTACTTCATATTGTTCTGTTTAAAAGGTGGTCTTGCTCAAGCAGATACTGGTGAATTTCTGGAGTTCATGAAAGAATGTGGATAAATACACATTTAGAACTTTTTCATCAGTAGAGGGTAAATGAAGCAGATGTGGTTTTGACAGGAAAAACCTGCAAAGGGTGCTTTGGACTTCTGACTTGGATTTTTTGATGACTGGCTCAGTAATTCGTTTATGCTCACTTTGACAACATTCATTCCCAGTTGAGTGTGTGTAGAGATGTAGTTCTTTACTCAAGGAACTTATGCTTTACCCTATGTCTGTGGGTATGGTGAGATCAGGTTAACTCCAGCATCTTTCTGTTTTAGTACATGTGGTTTAGCATATCACTGCCCTTGCCATGGCGGTTTCCATGATTTTCAGTCAGAGCCTCTTCCCTCTGTGTTGCAGTATAATACATATTATCTAATACTCAGTCAGTATTTTTGTTTTGTAGTGGTTTGTATATTCGTTATAACTCACAAGATTGTAAATGGCTGATTTTAGAATATTTTTTTACATTTAATGTCAATTGTTTATGCCAAAGCGTATCATTCAATTACCTATCCTCTACCATTGCTCTATTTGAAGACACTGGTACGTGTCTTAGTTCTTCCATCCGAATTTCTGACATCATTCTGGTAGATGTCTATAACTGTATAAACAACCACCATCACAGCAATAGTGATAGAATAGCTTACTCGTATTGAGCTCTTTTTGTGTGCCAGGCTCTTTTCTAACCATGTTACTTTACTCAGTCTTTATAACAACCATATAAAATGCATACTGTTATCCCCATTTTATAGGTGAAACTGAAACAGAGGCTAAATGATTCCCCCAAGATCACTAGAAGTGGTAAGTGACCACTAGGCTGAACTTCCTTTGTAACTACTCAACTGTAGAATTCCTTAACTTCAGCTCAAAGTTAAGGTTCATTCTGTTCCAGTAACTCAAATTGTGACCGTATCTTCTAACACGTCATCACCTTCAGATCTTAAACTCTGATAACGTACAGCTCTCACGTTAGTAGTCTCTTGCTCTGTGTTCTCCTACCTCAAGTCTCTGGTCCATTAGCCCCTTTCAGATTTTACTTCTTTGTCTGCCTTTTCTCCACTGTCATTTCCAGGGTGCATTGCCTCAGCCATTTTCTTACTACTTGCAGTTTTTATTTCTTCTCATGCCAGTCTTGAATCATTCCCATCATCTGTAGCCTCCCTTTTTTAGCTGTGTCATAGAGAAACCTCACACGGTGCTGCGAGTTAGTGCCTCAGTGGGTGTCTAGTCTTGGGTCTCCCCTGAGGCTCTTTGGTGTCTGTCAGAGCATTTCTGCTCACTTCCCTCTCCCGCTCTTCCCCGTGGCTTTTCTAAAATCTTGACCATTTTAGTTAGGCCTCCTCACTGCCGCACAGTGAGGCAGTCTCAAGGGAAACCTTACTCTCTTGACTTCAGCTCACCCCTGGGCTTGTGTTTTGGATATCATTGCCTTCTTTTCCTTTGGGACTTGCTGTATCAGCTACTTCCCTTTCTCTCTTCTGCTGTTTCCCCTCAGTTTTCCCCTTGAAAACAGCAGACACAGTCCTACGTTAGGGCCTTTGCTCTCACTCTTTGTGCTACTTGAAACACTCTTTCCCTGAAATCTGCTTGGCTAGTTCCTTCACCTGCTTCAGGTTTTTGCTTAAACTTAAACCTCACTACCTCAGCAAACCTCTCCTGACCTCATTCATGCATCTGCATGGCACCCCTTCCCACCACACTCCTGATCCCCCCGACTTTGCTGTAATTCTCCTCCCTTATAGCACTTATTATCACCTCACATTCTGTGTAACCTATTTTAATGTCCCCTCTGCCCTACTAGGGCTTCCCTTGAGGCTCAACTGGTAAATAATCCACCTGCAATGCGGGAGACCTGGGTTCGATCTCTAGGGTTGGGATGATCCCCTGGAGAAGGGAATGGCCACCCACTCCAGTATTCTGGCCTGGAGAATTCCATGAACTGTATAGTCCATGGGGCCGCAAGGAGTCAGACATGACTGAGAGACTTTCACTGCCCTACTAGAATGAAAACTTCTCCATGGCAAAGATGTTTGTCTGTTTTGTTCACTGATTTATCCCAGACTCCTGCAACTGCCTGTCACGTTGTAGGCACCCTGTAAATAGCTGTTGACTCAAGGATAGAAACATAGAAGTCTTCTGTGTTAATAAATGGAGTGGGGAGGGGAAGAATTCTTCAGTCCTATTCTCTTTTGGCCATCTCTCTGCCCTCATAGGTTCTGGAAGCAGTGAGGATACTTGCATTTCCCAGCCCACCACAGACTAGCTTCCCTCATCCCCGGCTTCACTGATACTGCTGGCGCTCTGATTTCCAGCCCTTTGTTATGATAGCAGGGGGCATGCTTCACGCCTGTGCAGAGTTGGAAGTACTGCTCACTTCACTCCCTCTTTTGTCTGCTTCTGTTTTGTGGGGCTGGTTTCAGTCTTCTGGGCCTTGTGCTTTTCCAGCCACTCACATGGCTGTCATTTATTCAACACAAATTTTTGTATAATTTTTAAAGACTTTGTTTTTAAGAACTAGAATTTTGACTACGTAACATTTTCAGTGTCAAATAACAGATTAGGCATTACAGGAAACTTTTATTTAGTTATAATTTATATCAGTTACTGCTTTGAAAAAGGTTTTGAGCAACTTACCACAATACTGTAGATATGATGAGGCTGTTAAATATGGAGAAGAAACAAAAGTCGATATGATAGGAGGAAAAAATAAATATACAAATAACAGTAGTTTGTCTATGTGTGCATGCATGCTCAGTCATGTCCAACTCTTTGCAACCCCATGGACTGTAGCCTGCCAGGCTTCTCTGTGGAATTCTCCAGGTAAGAATACTGCAGTGGATTGCCATATATATAAAGTGTATGATACGTTATTGTAACTTAGTCTTGAAACTTTTGAAAGTCAGATAAAAAGGGAAAAGGAAATTATACAATTTTCATTCTGGTAAAAGAAAGGTAATGGTTTGTCAAGAGCAGCTTTTTTCCTGGTAATGAATTCTAAAGAAATTTTAAGAGGAAAGCCTTACAGACATCCTGATGCAAAGACATACCTACTAAGTGTTTTCAACAAATCTTTTAAGTAAAAGGAAGTGTTCTTCAAAGACCTATTTTAAAAAAGTAATCCACCTGCTTTCCACAGTGAGTATACAGCATTAAAATATAACAAGTCTTTTCTGTGACTAATGTGGTTCGGGTATATAACTTTATGTAAAGACTAGTCTGAGTATCCCAGCAGAACACTCATTATTTAATAACTCTGGTGAGAACCTGGAATACTTGTATTCTGTGTTGTCATCTCAGTGAAAACATACCTATTAAACTTTGGGTAGTGGTTTATCATGTGGCAAGACTGACACATTGTTGCCACATGGAGAAGTCTGACCTGCATTCTTGGCCAGCTAAGGAGCTACTTACCAGGCAGGTAGCTGCAAAGGTGTGGTCACAGGCAGATTTCAGAGAGAACCTTGACTCATACCAAATTTGAATTAACCTCTGATTGAAATGTCCATTTCTACATCATAGCCAAGCTGAGTTCATTTTAACCTGGACAGTTACCAGGAGTAGCTGTTGTCATCCACTTTGACGGTAAAACTTCAGTGGAATATTGGGTTTTGAGTGACAGAGTTCCCAGTGGATCTGTAAAATAAAAATTATAGGATGTGGTTTTAGTTATTTGATTGAATTGACTTACTAGATAGAGTTTAGTGTTAGCCATCCAAACAGTGAAAAAATAAGAAAACAATGAAAAAATTTCATTTAGAATAGTTTATTTAAGCCATAGGCCATAGGAGCTGTTGTTTCTGGATGGACCTCTTGGTTTATGAGAATCAAATCATGTCACCGGTAAAAAGGAAGGTTCTTGATTCCTTAATTGCAGTGACAAGAAGACATGTGTCTAATCTAAAAATTGTTTTGGTTTATTTTCATAAATGGTTAAAACAGTTGGGTAGCCTAATTGAGCTAGTTTAATCTCATTTGAAACTGAAAATCTGATCTGTCAGGAAACTCTTCCTGTGCAGTCTGATTCTTGTCATTGGGTTAGAATGCAGAAAGAAGCTTTCCTAACATATGATCCATTTTGAGCTTTTGCAGCCTGGCTCATGGCTGATTTTTATCTATTGAATCAAAGACCAGGAATAGACATACATGCATACACAAAATACATATACACACAAAAATGAATTCTTATGTTTTGGGGGCCATTTTATCAGTACAGCCTTGGTCAGTGACATAGAGTATTGGGTCCTAAAGCCTGCCTGGTCCTCGTGGAAAGTATTCAACCAAGAAGGCACAACTTCCATAATAACAAGGAAATTTTCACACCTTCCCCAAATGGGCTCATTAGCTACAGATGTTTATTTTGGGGGTATCCACTTATTCTTTCTTATCATTCATTTTTTTTTTTTTTTTGGCTGTGTCACTCAGTTCCCTGACCAGGGATTGAATCTGGGTTTCTCAGTAGTGAAAGTGCCCTAATCACTAGACCGCCAGGGAATTCCCTAATTCATTCTTTAAAATGTAATTCGATAGAAAAGATTATCTTTTGAATAGATTGCTTGTTGATATTATAAGTTTGTGGAAATATAGCAGATTGTATAAATGTTGTATTTAAAAGATTGCATTTCTTGGTTAAATTCTATTTTTAGTTATGACAAACATACTGAATAAAGTAGCAATGTACTCGAGTTAACTGCTGACTGCAACAAAGGGCAGAAACAAATAAGTAGAAAAATGAGGAATCAACACAACATTTTTAGGGAACAACAAGATATAAGGTATGACTTTTAGCTTAGAAAGGAGGATGTTAAGGAAGATATGACTTAATGCTTCCTGCCTCATGGTGCCCTTGACCTTGTCCTCAGAAGATAATGAACTTGTAATAGGTTGGAAAGGAGATTGAGCTTCTAAGCATTCCATGTTTGGTGTGATAAGGATCTTGGTGAAGAATGTTTCAAGTTGGACAGTGGAAACTGATACTGGAGAAGAGGCTAGATTGTGGAGACTAGCAATTTTTAGGTTGTTTTCTGAGGCCATGGGAACCAACTGAAGGCTTTTAAGAAGAGGGAATGACATGAATTGACCTCTGTTTAAGGAATATAATCCTGGCTGTTTTCTGTTATAAAAAAAAAGGGGGGGAGGAGTATTACAAAACCCAGCCAACCAAAAAACTAAGATTATTTCATTCTTGTTTGTTCATTTTGCTGAAAAGCCAGTTTGAGAATTTGTCTTAGGTTCCCAATAATCCAGAGTGCTTCTGAGGGCACGAGAGAATTACACAAGATCAAAGTTAAGCAATGGGGCAAAAATTTAGAAAAATTCAAATGAATTAGATCTAAATGTTTTATTATCCCTTTATTGTTAGTGAACGCTTCTGGAATTTTTGCTCCATTCCACTTTATAATGCTTCTAATCGTATGTCAAAAGGAAGGAAAACTGGTCAGAGAAACAAGTCTAGAACTGAGGCTGTCAAGAGATTTAGAGTATGTATGATTGCCTTTCCTACCTGCCTTTGGCTTTTTAAAACTTGGAAAATGTATTTTAATTTTTATTGTTTTCCTATAACTTCTTAAAAATATTCTGTAATTGTTATTTCTCACTGAAATTTAAACTTGATTTCAGATTTACATAATTGGTAATTTTTTTAAAGGATTAGGAAGTTTTGAAACTATAATTCTTTGATGGAAATCCATTATAAAAGAGATACTCTTTGTATGTAGGAAAGTACCAAAGTAACACTTGCTATACCCTGCTTAACTGTAGTTTCTTATTTTACTGTATAAAATTTTAACTTACTTGTGAAGATA